AAGAGAATACCTGGTCCTTTAGGCACACACACACTGAAATATTTAGGGGTAATAGGGCATGAAGTCTGCAATTTACTGTCAAACAGATTAGGAAAAACAATAGTTCAGATTAGTTTATGACAAGGAAACTAGAGGGGGAGAAATAAAGTAAAAGTAGCAAAATGTTAATGAGTAAACTGCGGTGGAGGGTAGGTACGTAGAAGTTATTTGTAATATTCTAGTAATTCTCATATGTTTGAAATTCCTTTAAAATGTGTCTTCAAAAGTCTCTGTTAATTGTTGCCACATTCATATTGCCTAATCATAAATTATTTTCAGTGTTCCAATTTACATTTTCTGGGCCCATCCTTATATCCACATAGTGCAGAGATATCCTTCCCTGCACTACCATGTAGACTCTCTCACATACAGAGGGGCCAACAAGAACTATTCTATTTTTATTTAAGAAATATCTTATAACCTTCAAGGGCAGTGTCATAAACACTTTAAAAAATATTTTTAAACACATATGCCTGTACATACAAATATGTGGATCCTCTGAAGCCCTTCCATAGGTCAAAGCGGTTCTGAACAATTGATACAGCAAAAGATAAGCTTTTAAAAAAAGGACTATATTATGCTAAGTACTAAAATTGTTATTTTAGATTAGGATACTACACTACTTACAAACTATAGTTAGCTCAGGATTACAGTGTCTTTCTTTTTAGTAGATCATAAGCAAGAGTTGCCATAAATGCCAAAATTCACTAAGTCATCTTAATTTCACAGTTTAGCAGGGCAGATTAAAATCATAAATTTATTTTAGACATCGTAATTTTAGCATGACACCCTTATTTAATATCAAACCATCGAATCTCAGAGTCTCATGCAACGCATGATAATCAGTTTTTAAATGCAAATTCTGAAAAATGGATATCAGCAGAGGATGAATTTGAAACTTCAAGCTGGCCATGCCTGGGAGGACATGTGAGTGTTTACTGTTGTTATGACACACACATATTTCTTTTAGCAAATTATTGACAAAAAGGCATAATACTACATAACTTATTTCTGACATGGTCCAATGAAAGTACTGTTTATAGGAGAAGAGAATATTGCCAAATGTTCCCTCCCTCTCTGATTTACTATTCATTTATCTTAAAATACCTGGGTAAGTAAAGAAAAACAAGTAAAGTTTTAACGAATATTTTATAAGTGAAAGTGGATTTTACAGGAGTCAAAATCACCAGATAAATTAAAATTTTCCACTTAAAATGACTATCTGCAAGCAACATCTTCAGATGTTGGGCAAGATAATTACAACCCTCAGCTGGTGTTCAGTATATGAATAAGGCCTTTAACCCTAAAATGTGGAGGAGCGTCAAGATGCCCTGGAAAGTAGAGCAGATTAGTTTGTGGCAGGAAAACCCTCAGGGGTCCAGTTTAGGATCCAACATTTGAACTTTGTGGCCGATACAAACAATTTACTTGACCCTTAACTTGGTGAAACTTATTTCCTCAGATTCCTCAATTCATAGAAATTTGGTTTTAAAAGAACCATTCAGAAAACATGAGCCTAGTTGTCTGTTTTTTCACAAATGTGAATTCACCCACTTGACCAAGGTCACCTGATAAGTTAGTGGCAGAAACAGAACAGCAACTCAGGTCTTCTGGATCCCAGGTCTCTGCCTGATGCTCTCTACTACCTCACTCTTCTATTTTGTGTGAACACAAAAAAATGTGTGACTCTTAAAAATATCTTTTATGGAATTTCAGTCTTTAATAAAAACAGTTAAATAACAATTTAAAACACGTTCTTCTTTGAAAGAGCTGATTCTCCCAGTGCATATATTACAATTATTGAATGGGAAGAGAATAAAGACAGACAATTAAAATTTCACAATATATTCCTTTTTACTTACCTTAACTTGTGCACTAAATATTTTAAGCCTATGTGATGTGTATATACTTTGAGGATCACTTACTTATGAATAAGTAATCCCTGTTATTTGCTTGTATTGAGAAAATGATTTAGGTAATGCAGTTTCTATTTTTTTAATTTTATTTTTATACCAAAGGCTTAAATATCTTTAACTCTACCAATGGCAACAGAACTAAGGAGTTCTTTCTAACTTCTTTTTGTGGCATATCATTGATTTAACATAAATAGTTTCAATATATTTCAATAAGAAGGCAGTCTATTAAATGATACAAGTAGAAGATAGGTGAAAAGGGGACAATGGGCATCAGTGCAAATTTCTGACATCATGATCCTTTTCTAAGAGTCAATAGGATAAAATACTGACAGGAAATCTAAACCTAATCATGGTCCTGATTATTTGAATTTCAATGAATATGATGGTCTGCTTGTATATATTTTGAAGTAAATTTTATTGAAGGCTGCTCTTCATTAAATAAATTGAGGATATGAGGTCCAACTCTCATAATATAAGGAGGATTTAAGGGGCAGGAAAACAATCTCTTGTTCTCTTCTGTCAAAATCAAGTATGCAAAGATTTTCATGATAATTTGGCCAGAACACATTACATGGGAGCCAATCACTATGAAGAACAGTTGTCCACTATCAAGCCCTTTTAATTCCTTGCTACTTAAAGTGTGATCCGTGAACCAGCAGCATAAAAGTATGTTAGATATGCGGAAACCCAGCTCCTATTCCTACTGAATCATAATCTACATTTTATAAGGATCTCTGAGTGATTCACAAGCACATTGAAATCTGAGAAGCATTGCTTTAATTAAATTTAGAGAAGGCATGGGAGAGAAGCAGTGAGTGGAAACAAATATGCTTACATCTGTATTTTCTTACCTAACCAGACATTTCACAATATTGTATTGTATACCATTTGTCAGATACTTTGTAAAGACTTTTTTATACATTGCCGTGTTTAAATAGCACAACAAACTTATGTGATGGGAACTGTTATTGACATTGTATGATAAGAAAATTGAGATTTACACAAGTAGATAGAGCAAATTCACTCAGATAATAACTGGTAGGAGATAGTCTGACCCAAGAACTTGCGCACTTAATCATATTTTATGGCTTAGCATATCACTATATGCAGATTCCAACTTATATCAAAATATGGTGCCAATTTTCAGATGGAGAACATACAAATTATAGGAAGGCTGCAATGGAAAAAAAATTCTGCCTAGATAAAAAAATTCCTATCGTGTATGAGTCTTAAATAGCCTAGGCTTTCAAAATCCTCTGTATCTGCCAATTTGTGGATTTTACGATGGTAAAATACACAATCAGAAAATTTGGATGGGTACAAGTACTGGCTAATTACTCATAAACCAAATAAGGTTAACTAGTCCTTAACCCTTTACTCATAAAAATATAGAGCGAGATATTAAGAATAAATTCTAAAACTATTTAAGAGTGTTCCAATGATCATATACATCAGAAAGTTCTTATTTGTATCTGCCCGGAAAGATACATGTCCCTAATTTCCTTTATTCTGGAAAGATACAGATACAAATACGTATCTTTTTAAAATTTTCTTCCTTTGGCTATAGCTATATTTTGATAAATTACAAAGATACAAGAGGCTGCTCTATTTCACAGTGGTGGTGGTGGGGACTAAAAGACTAGCAAAAAACTAAAGGAAATACTAAACTGATTTTCTTATAATATATTCAAGTCCAGAACTAATATGATTAAAATAGCTGACAGTTACTGAATGCTTACTTACATGTAAGGCCCTATCATAAGACGACTTATAAAAAATATATCATTTAATTTGAACCATGAAATAGGGACCAGCTTTATTCCCACGAGGAAACACAACTGTTAAATGCTGGATCTAGGATTCAAATCCTGGTAGAATGGCTTTAGTTCTCACAATTCATGTTGCACAGTTTTAGAAAAAGCTTTCTTTTTCTCCCAGTATATTTAACATATTTCAGGATTCCTCCCCCTTCAACAGAGAATATACACATAACTTTCTCTTTGAATTATTTCAGAGATGTATATGATGATCGATTTATAGTCACACCGACTTAATGGTCTTATAAATGAGATAAACGCCTTAGGTTCATGAGATCAATATATATGAATTATGCCTTTAGTACCTAGTTTTTCATTCAAAAAAAGACTAAAAGATAAACTATACTGTAATTTGTTTCCTTGCACCATCTAGTGGATTTAAACGACAACTGCGGCAGTACTATAAATGATTACAAGTCAATTATACGATAAGTCAAATTTTCAAACATCCGCAGAACTGTTCCTAAAGCTATATTTCGGATCATATCACAAAAGTACACATAATTATTTTTTCCTTTTCCATGCGGGAATCAATTAGGCATGGGTGCTGAATTTATTAGAGAACGTTTACCTCTACAAATAAAATACCATCCCTGCAATCTTTTTACAATTAGAGATAATGCAAGTCAGATACATTGTAGCTCTTCCCACCGTTTCATAGACTCCGACGCTTCCCAAGCAGCTGCGCGTCAGGGGCTGCCCGGGAGTTTGCGCGGGCCAGTGCGCATGCGGGCAGGGAGCGGAAGCGGAGAGGCGGGGCTCAGCCGCACGGGAGCGGAAGCGGCCTGTCTGTGGGGTGAGGCTGCGGCCGTTGGCGGTGAGTCCAGGGCGGCCCGAGCACAGAGGCCAAATCCCGGGAGACGCCGGAAGCCGCGGAAGGGCTCGGGGGTCCGGTGCCGGGGCTGCTGGCTGCTGCTTTCCCGCCTCCGCCGCCGCGTTCGCCCCGCCCCACCCGACGTGCGGCCCTGAGGCCTGAGGCCTAGCGCGGCCCGCGGAGCCCGCCGTGCCGCCGTGAGTACTGCGAGCGCCCGCGGCCGACTCCCTGCCGGGCGTCCCCGCCGGGCCTCCCCCAGCCGGGCCTCCCCGCCGAGCCTCCTCGCCGGGCCCCCGTGGCCGGGCCTCCCCCAGCCGGGCCTCCCCGCCGAGCCTCCCCCAGCCGGGCCTCCCCGCCGAGCCTCCCCGCCGGGCCCCCGCGGCCGGGCCTCCCCGCCGAGCCTCCCACAGCCGGGCCTCCCCGCCGAGCCTCCCCGCGGCAGCTGACGGGCTAAGATGGAGGAGATCTCGCTGGCCAACCTGGACACCAACAAGCTGGAGGCCATCGCGCAGGAGATATACGTAGACCTGATAGAGGATTCCTGCCTGGGCTTCTGCTTTGAGGTGCACCGGGCGGTCAAGTGTGGCTACTTCTACCTGGAGTTCGCGGAGACCGGGAGCGTGAAGGATTTTGGCATCCAGCCGGTGGAGGAGAAAGGAGCGTGCCGCCTCCCGCTCTGCTCCCTCCCCGGGGAGTCCGGGAGCGGGCCCGAGCAGCAGCTGCAGCGCTCACCCCCGGAATTCCAGTAGCTGCAGCGTGAGCGAGGCTGAGGGTGACCAGGACAGTGACACAGACTGGTCCTGTGGATTGAAGAAGTTAGGTAGCTAGGTAGAGAAAAAAAATCAGAGGAAAGTCCCAATTCCCATTGAAGATCCTAGCCATTAGAAACCTAAAGTGGAGAATTTAGGAATTCGGATCCTTTTATATGCGTGTTCCCTGGGTCAGCTTTGAAACCCCAGGCAGGAGGAGCTGTGCATCCTGGGCACCATGCAACACAGGTTGGTCTCTAAACACACCAGGAGGTGCGCAAGATCCCTGCACTGTCCACAGTGCACGGGTGAGCAGCTGTGTGCCCAGCACATAAGATGCTTTGTTTCCTCAGCCTTTCTGTCTGCCCGATGTCAAGGGCTTCCTGCATAACTGACAGTTTGGACAGAACTGATGGTCAGGCCTTGATCATTGGGCCTCAGTGGGACTGCTCCTCTGATCTCTGAGCCTCTGACTTGAGCTTCTCCAAGACAAATGAAAGTCAGGAATGAGGTCTGGATATTAACAATTACAATTTGGGAAAACCCAAAGAAAGAATTCCCAGCTAAATCTGATAGGGGAAGGTCTGTGGTCTTGGGTCCAAGAAGAGGAAAAGGTCAGAGCCACCAGTTTCCCAAAGGTCCAGCATTTACAGTGACTTCAGCGGACTTGAGGACAAAGTCTAGCCTTCTGCTGAACACAGCCCTCTTTCTTGCACCCCACCCAGTGGCATAGGCTTGGCAAATGGACCACTTGGTTATCCAGGCAGGCTGAGGATTTAGTTATGATCTCTTGGGGAGGTAGCAGGGGCCTCTGCAACTATGCACGATCTCTCAAACTGCAAGATGCATATCTGGATATGTTCTGCTGTGGACAACAGTTTGGTGGGGCAGTGATTTTCCTATTGTGAGTTACTAGTTACCTAGCCAGTTCGTGAGTCTGACTTGGTCGTTATGCCACGTTCCTACCTGTCTCCCAGGGGCAGGACTGAACTACAGAAGAGCATCATGGCTGTGCAGGAGGTGGTGGTTTGAAAGCTAAGCCCAGAGGACCTCTTGCCACTGTCCTCAATGACGTGAATGGGTTAGTGCTAGGAGCCAAGGAGCGGGACTGGGTCATCTCATCCGACTGCAGTGTCCTATTGAATGTCCCTGTTCCTTGGGTTTGGCAGTCACAAAGCTCTGCTGTGGTGATCATCTAGACTGTCACCACCTTCTATGCCCCTCACAAGGGGCAGCCCTCTCCACTCGATCCCTTTTGGACCTTCTTGACAACAAAAGCTGTCCTTTTGTTGTTGGAAGTCAGGAAAGGGCATCCAGAAATCCCTGGTGTCAGGGAATGGGATAGGGGAGGATGGGAAGTGTGAGCCGCATATCAAAATTACCCTCCACTTTACTCCCTGATGGAGGGTTTATGAAGTGTGGAGGGATGGGAGCCCCAAGGTGAGCAGAACGGTGCTGCTTTATTTGAAATGTTTTCTTACCTCATTCTGTGCCCCAGTAAGGGGCCCAGCCTCATCTCTCTGGCTTGGCCCCATGTTCCTTCTGTCCCCTGCTCCACTGGTGCAGCTCATGACCCCAGGTGCTGGCTGCCACCCTGCTTTTGCATTGACCTGTTTCATTGCATCTCTCTTGATGCTCCTGCTTCTGAAGCCTACCCAAGTTCCCTTTCCTTGGCTTCCTTTAAGTTTCTTATGTTTTTGTCTTTTTGGTTGTGGGAGACTCAATCTTTCTTATGGCTCCCTCTGTTGGGATTAGGATGAGAAGGGAACATAAGTTTTTGTATATGAAAGGCAGTGTCATGCCTCAGCATTTCTCCTATAGGGCTGCCTAGCTAGTTTGCCTTCCTACTGTGTCTTACTTCATGAGGAGTTGTATCTTCCCACCTCCACTTGGATACTGCCTTCTAGGACTTAAGCAGAAGAGCAGTAAAGGCTGACTGACACAGGGATGGAGTTGGTCCTGATCCATTTTCTCTAACCCTTGCTGTGCATGTATCCTTCCTTATCCCAGAAGGAACTGTTTGGACTGTATGGACTGATTTGGGTTACATACTCTAGAGGGTTAAGGAAACCTAGTAATAGGGCCTCAAGACTGTCTTATCTCATTCTCCCCCAGAGTTGGCCTTCTCAGGGTCGGGGCCTAGTTACAGATTGGTCTTCAAGAATTGTGATAACTTTAAAAAAAAATTTTGGCAAAAGCTAAAATAATTTTGGGTTATCTGCCCTTGACTTTTTATAGACATCTCATTCTAAGGGGATACAGAGAGAGAGGAGGTTCTAAGTGAGACTGGCCTACTTCCAAATACTGTCTGAGAAACAGGCTGAAGATAAGGCCATGGTCCACTCTTCCTTCAGAGAGGGAGCTCAGATTGTGACATTACTGTTTCTGGCCTTTGCTTCTGGTTAGAGGAGGAGGAAGTGGGGAGTAGTTTTGAGTAATGGTTGGTTCATGTTACCTCCCTCTTGGTTTTTGTTTTTTTGCCTCCCACTATTAGGGCAATAGCCTCCTTCCCTGGATGGGTATGAGGTGGCCTAAGTCCAGCAGGTGCCCTGAGGGGACAAACTCCTTCCTTTTCTGGGGAGAGAATGCTCCCTACCGTATAGTTGACAGTGGTTAGGAACTCTCCCTTTCCCTGCCTGTCTTCCCTCTAACAGCAGAATTCCTATCCTTCCCTCCTCAATTAAGTGTATTGATCACCCTGTAATTCTATTATGTATTTGAGTGTGTGTGTGTGTGTGTGTATGGGGGTAAAGGGGTTCTTTACAAATTTCTGTGGTTTGTGGCTTTTTCTTCCGTGCATTAGTTTCCACCACCGCATGCCTGGGCCCATTGCCTGGCATTGTCGCATGCTGGGATCATTGGGGATGTGTAGTGAAGCGCACCACTGTCTTTTGTTTTGGAGATTCTTATTTTTGCATAAGTAGTCCATCCTATACAGATTGCTAACTAACTGTGTATTCCCCTTGCCCCTATGGCTGCTGGTGTAAATAAACTGCATCTCCCCATTGGTAAACAGTAATAATAAAGTTTTAAAAAATGACTTTATTTGGACTCAGTGTGTTCATCTTTTAAAATAGTACATGTTTTTCAGGTATTGACGTAGTAAAATAAGTGTTGAATTGCTGTTCAACCTTAGTCCCTTTCTCCTGAATGGAAGTTTTAGATAGAAAAACTCTGCCCAACTTTGTTTCTCCATCTAGTCCTGCAAATTTAGCTTTCTGCAACATCAGTAAAAGAAAGAAACTATATACAATCTTCCCTTTTCCATATGAGGTAAGAAGGTGGTAAAATATATATAATCCAAGCCTGTTACTGAAAATTCAATGTGACAGATAGTTCAGTTTGAATGGAACTCAAGGTATCTTGATGTATATGTTTTACCACCATTTCAAGCCGATATCCTTGCTCTCACAAGGCAAAGGATTCATAGCAGAAAATGAATTGCCCTTTCTAAAGGTGATTTTTTCCCAATACTTGTTATTTTACCTCAACTCTTTAGATCTTTCGTTTTGTTTTTATAGTAATTCTAAGATTTTTCATTTCTTCCAATTCCTAATCCAGAGTTAGAACACTTACCCTAGAAATTGTACATATTGCTCCTTAGTACTGATAAAATCAGTTGTTTGCTAAATGTTCTAGTTCATTAAAGAAAATCCAAATTAGAAATAATATTTAGATGAATAAAAATTATAGAAATGGGGTCAGAGAAAAAACTATTTCAGTAGGTTACTTCAGGGAACCTTATATATGTAACATGGTATTGAATCACCTAACATTCAAATGCAGCTGCAGCAAATACTTTTTGATCCTATTTTTGTATGTTTACGTTTGAATTAATACATTTAGTGCTAACCTAGTTAGTTTTCTGAAATGAGGTATTTGCAAGACCTTGGTGCCTTACTAAATCCACTTGATGTTAGGCAGGACTTTTTAAGATTATTCCTCTTCATGTTTTGTAACCTATATTTATGTTTTTAAATATAAAAGAAAAAAATGCATACCTTTCAACTCCCTATGTTTAACTCCCTAGATACTGCATTTTAACTAGAGCATATAGCATGAGGTCAGGAACAAATAAAGGGTTATTTGATGTTGACAAGTATAGAAAATGCAGTAGGCTCAAGTAGTTAAGGATTCAGAAAGACCTTTCTTTGCCCACTAATAATTTAGTAACATTGCCTTCCGTTAGGACCTATCTGAGGTACTTTAAAGTATTTCTATAATTTTTTAAAAAGATGTTTTATGAAATGAGAATATATTAATATGCTAAAAGTACATTTATTATACTTCATTAAACAGCTTTTCACATTAGTCTTTAAAATAATTATCGTGATTAGTGAATTGCAGTTCTCAGATCACCTAGAGGTAACTTTTAGCATCAGAACTTTGGAAGTTGTACTCGGCTGTGCAGGGCACAAGCTCTTTGATTTCATGTTCCAAAAGATGCGCATGATGCTTTGGAGGAAAACATTTGTTACAAGCGATGCACTTATTGAAAAAGATATTGCAGATAAACCTGTATATCCTTGGGTGGTGTTTTGTTTTTTTCATTTTGAAAACATTTTCAATCATGTATTACTTGAGCCTCATTGGAAATATGTGGGCTAAAAAGATAATACTACATTCATTTTAGAGATGAGAAAATAAGTCCAACAGCAGTGACTTGCCCACAGTTCAAAAACAAAAATACAGAAGCAATAGAAGCAAAAGTAGAATGCTGGTGCTAGGCCAGAGATCTTGTTGAAGCAGCAGAATTTTTAATAAGTGAAAGGACTAATTTGACTAATTTTAAAAGAGACAAACCGGTTAAAGTAGAATGAAAAGATTGTGATACTAATGAAAATTTTAAGGAAATGAGTTTTGAAAATATTAAAAAGATGAAAAATATATTTATAACTCATCAAGAGTGACTTAAGGAATGTTTACTTTTTTAATAAATGAATACGTCTAGAACATAAAACCTCATCCCATCTCTACTCCAATACACACAAAAACACTAGACACTTAGAATTTTATAGACATTATAGCAAAAACCAAAAATCAGTATAGGCTGAGTATTATGAAGATAGATGAAAAAAATGAAGATGTGAGCAAACGAACTCCTTTAAAATATCAAAAATAAACATTATCAACAAGTCAGGTTAATCCCACGAAAGTAAGATTTTGACTCAGAATCATTGCATCACCATTAGAGAAAAAAGGTGAAAATTTCCATAGATAACAGAAAAATAGTTTGATAAAATTTAATACCAGTTATTGGTTTAAAAACACCTGTTAACCATATAGGAACAAGGGCTAAAGAACCTCCATACACTAATAAAGTATGTATCAAAAATCTATGACAAATGCTATGCTTAATGATGAGTACTTGGAAGCATTCCTTTTAAAAGCAAGAATGGACGAAACAAAATGCTCATTCTCAGATGATATATAAATCGATAATTTTATGGAATCTGTGAACATACCACTGGAAATAATGATAGAATTCAGTAAAGTTGCTGGATATTAGGTCAATATTCAAAATCAAAATAATAAATTTTTTTAAATGTTTATAATGTAATGCAACAAAAATTATAATGGTCCTATGAATTAATATAACGAGCAGGGTAAGATTTTGTGGAGAAAATGACAAAATTTTCTTCTGGGATATTGAAAAAAAATCATAAATGGAAAGTGATAGGATGTTCATGGATAGGAAGCTCAATACCATCCCTTAAGATGTATGAATTGGAAGTAATCTTGATTAAAATCCAAATAGACATTTTTGTGAAGCTTGACAAGCTAATTTTAAGATTTATATGAAAAGCAATGTGCAAGAATAGACAAGATCTTTCTGGAGAATGTATGTTACATAGTACGGTTTACAGAAACAAACAGAATAGAATAGAGAGCTCAGAATTAGATGGGAAAACACACACACATGCACATTGATGTCATCCTGATGTATGACTAAATTGGTATTATAGTCAGCAGATTATAAACCAATATATTGTTCTGGAATAGATTATCCATAAACAAGTAATAAAACTGTACTTCAGACATAAATATTGATTCCCATGTGGATTTAAGGCTTACTGGGAAAAGTAAAACATCAAACATTTATAGAGAAATATAGAAGGATATGTTTATAATTGTAGGCAAAAGAAAAATTCTTAAGTAAATAAAAACACCAAACATAAAGAAAAAAATTGATATATTAAACCATAATGAAAATCAAACTTTCTGTGCTTTGTCATACTAGAAACAAACAACCACCACCGCAAAACCCCAGGGTATGCTAGTAGAAGTGAAGCAGTTCTTATAACTGATAAAAGATTATTAATAAAGTAATATACAATTGACAAATGAACAAAGTAAAAGAACAGTTCATTTACAGAAGAAGAAATTCAAATGGGAAAAAGATGTGAAAAGTTCACTTAGGTTCTGAGAAATGCAAACTAAAAACAAACGAAATATCAATTTATACCACTCAGTATGGTTAAAATAAAAATGGGTGATGATAGTGATATTATCAACTCTGACATATGGAACAATTAAAACTCTTGTACATTGCTGGTGGACTGTAAATTGATAAAAATATTTTGGAAAGCAATTTGGAAATATCTATGTCAGTTGATAAGCATAACCAATACCTGCGTATTTTCACCTCTTTTAGCAGTATTTGTAATAAGAAAAAATCGAAAGCAATATAAATACCTATTAAAAAATATGTAGTCACTATACAGAAGTGAAAATAACCAGGGGTAAACAAATAAAATATGTGTTTAGTAAAACATATATTCTTATAATTTGCTTCCTTTTCTTTGGAGCTTAAGAATATACAAAACAGGGGCTGGCCCCGTGGCTTTAGCGGTTAAGTGCATGCACTCCGCTACTGGTGGCCCGGGTTCGGATCCCGGGCACACACCGACGCACTGCTTGTCCAGCCATGCTGAGGCGGTGTCCCACATACAGCAACTAGAAGGATGTGCAACTATGACATACAACTATCTACTGGGGCTTTGGGGAGAAAAAAAGGAGGAGGATAAATCTTTAAAAAAAAAAAAAAAAGAATATACAAACCAATGCTATATATTGTTTAGAGATATATGAATATGTAATAAAAAGTGTACCAAAACCCTTGAACTAGACTTCCGTGTCCATGTGCTTGACAGCTTGCTTGACAGCTAGCAAGGAAATGGGTGCCTCAGACCTACAGCCACAGAAATTGAATTCTGCAAACACCCTGAATGAGCTTGGAAGCTGATTCTTCCCCAAAGCCTCCAGACGAGAGCCCAGCCCAGCAGACACACTTCATCTTTGGCTTGTGAGACCCTAAGCAGACAGCTCAGGCAAGCATGCCCTGACTTCTCACTTGGAGAACTGTGAGATGATACGTGAGGACTGTGTTAAGCAGCTAGGTTTTGATAAGTAGTTACACAACGATAAAAAACTACTACCGTCATAAACTGATCCAACCTTAGAAAGGATTATGACAATTCAAGGCTAGAAAAGATGCTCACTCTGAATAATGATTTATATATGAGAATAAGGCAAGCACTGTTCAAACTACTCTTGATAAGTGTTATACAAATAAAACACGCTTATTTTCAATGTTGCTAATGTTTAAATTTACGGTATACAGAATAAATACTAGTTTTACCATTTTTTCATTTCCCCATACATTTACTCATTGACAATAAAAGAGTTTTTAATGTTTTGATGAGAATTTTTGGAAGGTCACCAGATGATCCTAATTTTTCCCATTTATTATTAAGATTGCTTTGCACAATTTCAGCTTGCATGGTCAATTTCAGTCTGTCCAACTGCACAAAGGTGGCACTGCCTGAATTGCTATCATTTCTTTTCTTACAAATTTTCCAAGACATGAATGCTGCATCTTTTCTAAAAATGTATTCCAAATTCAAAAAATTAGCAGTCGAGAAATCACACATTGACCTTCTATAGATAACTTAGGAAATTTAGCCTAAAACACAAAAGATATGAGTTCCCCAGATAGCAATTTGGGAAAGCTTTGTAAGACTGACAGCAGAAAAAGAAA